GTTTCTTGTGAAAGGCTTTAGTAGGTTTGCACCACTGCTGAGAATTGTGTGGACTGAAGCCCACATATCTGGAGGACACTCAACAGGGGGGAAAGCTGCTCTAAAGAAAGCAGCAGAAATGATGGCTTTCCAGATATTACTGACTCCTACTTACTTCTAACCAGCATCACCAATGGTATAGTTGCTGGATATGGTAGTTCAGCAACCTCAGGAGTTTGTTGCTGTCAAAAAAACTCTACTAACTAAAGGGCAAACTAAAATAGATGTTACAGACACCTCTGCTTATCTTGCCTTCTTTTCTGACCAGGTGGTCATTCTTCCAAAGAAAACACGGGCTCAAGTCATCCTCCATTTTTATTTTTTAAAAAATGGCTTTTGGAAAGTAGAGATAGCACTTTGGTGAGATTGGCATTTCTCCTCCTCCTCCTCCTTTTTCCTACTGTACTAAAAGAAACTTAAAAAAAATAGAAGTGAGGCGGGATAGGGAGATTATTTCACTATGGGGCATATACTGTATAGAGTCGGAATACAAGAGGTGATGCTTATAGTTTAGGGAAAGATACCATAGTTACATCTCAATATGGTTCCCAGTGCCAGTTCAAGATCTATACAAGTCTACTTCATCCTTCCCCATAACTTGTATCTTTCCATCATGCCCAGCCAGCATATTTGTGATTTATCTAATGACTGAACCAATGCTTGAATTAGATCTATATATTCCTCCTCCTGTTTTCTCTTATGCTACAGGGGATGACCATCCGCCCCCTTGTTGACTTGCTACATGTCACTCGAAAACAAGAAAATGGTCCCACTGTGGGAGAACAAATTCACATCCGGGTAAGCTCTCAGCAAGAACATTGGAAAGTATAAGTATTCAAAATGTTTCTAAATCTGAAACAGCTAGAGAAACAGAACGAAATGGTAGACTTGGACATTTCTCCTCATGTTTTGAGGATGGCCATTGTTGAATGTTCTTTATATTTTAAAAATTATGTTGAGTATCAATGGCCTTTCAAAATCTGCATGCAGAGAAATGGATGAACTATTTCTCTCAATTTCTCCAAGGGAAGAAGACATTTTCCAACACTTTCTTCACATCAGAATCCCCCAATTTGCAGTGACAGTGGTATCATTACTAAGAAAGCTCCTTGGAAGATGTCTCCTCTTGATGGTTTCTTGTACAATCAAAGGGAAGCATGAGAAGCCTTGGAGGACAAGACATTAGATACCCACCTCTTGGCCACCTTGTGTCCAAGGTCACCATGCTCAAGCATAAGAATTTCTCAGAAGGCAATTAAATCTACACAGGGTAGATGTCACATTAAATAATGCGAGAAGCTCCATTTGCAAGAAATTCTCTGTTTTTTCCTTTTAAAAATAAATTTCAAATGCAAACTGTTTTTTACTTGGTCTATAGAAAGACCAGCTAGTGATCTTGAGCTTCTCAACAATGGACAGCTGAATCTAGGAGATGCCCACCATTTTCAATATTCCCTAACGCCTCAGGAACATTCCCCAATGTCTTGGGGACTATGGGAAATTTAAAATAGTGGCTGGAATGTGAGAATGGGCCTGTCTAACAGTGCCCCATTACACCTGGAACTGGTCTCCATTATTATTAACACTTTACAACCACATTATTTCCACATAGCTCAGTTTAACTTAAGGTTTCTTCTAATACAGGGTTTCCCAAATGTAGCAAATTTCCAGAGGTGTGGACTTCAACTCCCAGAATTCTCATCAATGGCCATACTGGCAGTGGAATTCTGGGAGTTGAAGTCCACACCCCTGGAAATTTGCCACATTTGGGAAACACTACTTTAATGCCATGTCATAGTCTGCCTTACGATTGCATGGCAGGTTTCTTGTGAAAGGCTTTAGTAGGTTTGCTCTATTTCCAGGTAGTGTGAGAATTTCATTTGGTGGTGCTTCTGAGCTGATCTTACTAGGGAGGTGGGGGATAAAGGACTATAGGTGAAGTTGCTGCTTTTTGTGACTCATCTTCCACTGTTATGGAGCCTCTCTGGCTGCCCACACTTTCCTGTCTGAAGAATAAATATGGTTATATTACAACATGATGATGATGATATCTGTTCAATTGTGTCCAATTCTTGGTGATTCTGTAGACCAGCTCTCTCCACATTTTGTGATATTGCACGGCTTCTTTCAGTTGTTTTATGCTCTGGTTGGTGTTGGCTTTGATGGTGTCCAGCCACCATGTTTTTTGGCGGCCTTGTTTCCTTTTACTGCTGACCGTTCTGAGCATAACAGCCTTTTCCAGTGAGTTTGACTGCATGACATGGCTGAATAAGGTGGCATTTTGTGATTTTGCCTTCCAGTGATTTGTCTGGTTTTATATGCTCCAGAACCTGCTTGATTGTCACCTTTGCTGTCCAAGGAATGCGCAGGAGCCTTCTCCAACTGCACAGCTCGAATTAGTCAATTTTCTTCTTGTCTAGTTTTTTCATGGTCCAATTTTTGCAGCCATAGGTAACTATGGGAAACACCATAGTTATATTGTTATAATATAATATAATAACCATAAAAATAATAAGGGTGGGATAAAAAATCTACCCCCCCCCCAATTAACCCCATAGGTGGAGTTGCCTCATGAGATCATTCCTTGGGATTTATGGAGGCTGCAGGCAGCTGGAGAGAGGATTTCACAATGAAAAATGGAAGATTCACACATCCCCTTGGTTACTTTGTCACTAAAGAAATGGATGAACACCACACTCAACTTGTTAGGGCATCACTGAAATTGTCTTATAGAGTCCTTGGTGTTCTCTGAGCTTGGTTGTTTTCTTACAGATGTTTCATTACCCAGCTAGGTAATGAAACATCTGTAAGAAAACAAAGAAAACAAATAAAATTTTCTTATCCTTGGAAATAAAGTTCTAAAGCCAATTTTTGAAAGGTAGTTCTTCAGGGTTTAACGCAATTGTGGTGAACCAGGGTAGCTGGAGATTGTTAGATAGTGGTAACTCTATTGAAAGAGTTCAGTGGAAGCAAATGTCTCCTGATGTATATCCTTGGGATTCAATGCCAACATGGGGTCTAGGTAGGCAGTTGACCATTGGAAAGAGGTTGGACCAATGAAAGGTAGGGCATTCATAGCCATCACTTGGTCACTTCTTCACCATATAAGGATAAGAAGGTCCCACTTCACTCCTGAGAATTTCCACAAAATTCTGTTCTTTGAAATAAGTTTCAAGAGGAAATTCTCTTTCATCAAATTGAATGAGAAAGATGCGGGAGAATCTGCACTGTGGTTTACTCACTCACACAGACACAAACAGAGCAATGTGAAGCCTTCTGCCACCAAACATGGTTCTGTTTTTGTCTCGAGGCTTCAGATGCCATCGCCTGGAGTTCATCCTTTATGCATCAACAACAATACAACCACGTATATCAAAATCCTTCTTTTTTCCCTCTCTGTTCAGTTCCTGGATCATTTGTTGGCTGGTATTGAAGATATAGCGGGACACTGGGGACAGTATTATTGGAAAGACAAGTAAGGATTTGTTTAAAATACAAGCCTCTACATGTGTAAAGGGGAAAAAAACAACTTGCACATTTGATTTTCTCACTGTATAAAGTTCCCGTGAGGGATGACTTAGCTTTATTCATCCCTGTGTTACAAAGCAGATTATTCTTTCACAATAGTAAGAAGCAGTTGTCCCTTTCCTTCCTTCCTTCCTTCCTTCCTTCCTTCCTTCCTTCCTTCCTTCCTTCCTTC